CCAGGAGTTGCTTCCAAACTCATCCTCCCCACGCCTCCCCCTCTATCCGCCCCGAGGTCGCGCCCCTGGGATCGCTCCCCTCCCGCTCCTCTCGTTGCCCCTTCTGGGAGCGCAGCTCTGCCCGAGGTTTCGCCATGCTGCTGCTGCCGCTCCAGCACCTCCTCCCTCCTCCCCCTCCCTCCTCCACTCCTCCCTCCTCCCTCCCTCCTCCTCCCTCCTCCCTCCCTCCTGTGGCGCGGGTGCTTGTGCCACAAGCTTTGCCGCAATGCCTCAGACCATCCACAGAAGTCTCCAGAGTCATGCCCCAGATCACGCCCCCATCAGCTCAAGCTCCAAGTCGTCACCCCTGGCGTGAGCTCTCCCCCGCCCCCCGCTCAAATGGAGGAGGACGACAAACGACAAGGGGGCACTACCCCAGATACATGGCCGCATCTGTCGTGTCGGCAGGAGCCCGAGAAGGAAACAGAGAGCCCATCATGTCAGTGATATATGTCTACGATTGAAGACAGGAGTAGAAACACAAATTCATCGCGGGTGGACATGTGCAGAGAACAAGGGATCGAGAGCGTCCTCCATCACGGACGAACTACTGCCAGAAGCTCTCAGCCAGCATGAGGCCACAGAGTGCTTTTGGCTCCGCGGATTGATCCCATCGGAATGGACTGCCGTAACCCCACCGACAGCGGAAGCGCAGTGGAAGTATGGGAATATGTCCAACAACGGTGACCTCAGAGCCCTCGGACGAGGGACAGTGGATAACCCAGTGTGTGTGGCAGGTGATGCCAGCGGGGGAAAAGACACCAGTGATCCCAGGCTCCGCAGGGTAGGTGTAGGATTGGCCTTTTTAAAGCTCCCCGACAGTCCCATCGTAGGTCGGGGGTTGGTCTAGAGGTTCTAGGCACGGTACATGGGCCTCTTTATGGCCATAAGCAGATTGTTGCTAGAGGTGAGTTCTTGGGTCTCCTGCTCGCTTGCCAGCTCAGCGTAGGGCACTTAATTTATAGTTGCGACAATCTAGCAGTAGTCTCGGGGTGGTACAATCGTAAGCACGAACGCCCCGAAGGTGACAACGCAGACCTGTGGGAGCAACTCGGTCTTGAGTTTGTGCAGCGCGATCCCACCACAGTCACCGTCCTTTTTGTTAATTCCCATCTTGACGGGAACGCAGTCTGGCAGAAACGTTGTCCAGAGTGGCTGAGTTTAGCCTATGCAGCTGCAGACCACGTGGCAGAGATTGCAGCTGATGAGAATAGGTTATCGGAGATTGAAAGGCACCAAGTAAGTATGATCGAGCACAAAGCTTTTATGATCAGGCACCGCGTCTTGCGGGCCACGCTCGATGCTGTCGAATGCGAAAAGCTTGCAGAGTCCAGTGAAGCAAATCGAGGGCGTAGAAAAAAAAGGTGAAGCCGATCCGGCCCCCTTGCCCCCTGGCGCAGCACAGCTGAGCATTTTTTGTACGCAGCATAGTTTAAACATCTAGGGAACGGCTGTAGTAGATGTTGCAACACAGCCAGCCAGGACGAGTTGATCACCTGGCGTCCCAGCCCGTGCTATGAGCTCCAAAATTTAGGAGGGGTCTTCAGGTCTCCCCCACAAGGGGCTAAAGCTCACCTGGCTGGGGGGTGGGTCCATGAAACGCACCAGATGCAATACCACTCAACGCTGCAAGTTTGGTTATGTATTTCGTGCGGTTTCTTCGGTCGTCACCAGTTAGTCAGCTTAGGCAAACAATGCCCCACTGTCGTGCCCAAGCATAGGCAAGAGCATCTAAATAGAATAACCACCCACAGAGAGCCCAAGGCTTTGAGCAAGGCGGAAATGGCACGGAGTGAGGAAAGAAGGCAGGAGGGTAGGCAGGGACGGCGCCAAGTTCAAGAAGTTCCAGGACCGCCGCCCACCCACCCAGCCTCCCCCCTCGTGCCGCCGCCTGCTGCCGCCGAGGGAATCCAATACGTGGGTTCGAATGACTTAGACATCTGCTCCATGCTGCAAGCTCTTCCATCTCCTCCTCCTCCCTCCTCCAGCTCCTTCTCTTCCTTCCTCCTCCTCCATCTCCTTTTCCCCCTCTCCCTCCTCAACCTCTCCCTCCTCTTCCTCCTCCTCCTCCTCCTCCTCCTCCTGCTCCTCCTCGTCCTCCTCGGGTCGCCTACCAAAGACAAACGACAAAAGATGCAGGCGATGGTCTGGCGAGGCAGCGAGATCGACCTGCGCATGCCACACAGCGCCGCAGAAGGGGGAGGAGGAGAAGGAGGAGGAGGATGAGCAGGGGCAGGAGGAGGAGGAGGAGGAGGAGGAGGAGGAGGAGGAGGAGGAGGAGGAGAGGAGGGAGGGAAGGGAGGGAGGGAGGGAGGGAGGGAGAGAGGAGAGGGAGGGAGGAGGGAGGGAGGGAGGGAGGAGGAGGAGAGAGGAGGAGGAGGAGGAGAGGAGAGGAGGAGGAGGAGGAAAAGAGGAGGAGGGGGGAGGGCGGGAGGGAAGGAGGGAGGGAGGGAAAGGAGGGGGGAGGGAGGAAGGGAGGGAGGGGGAGGGGCGGGGCGGCCGCTGCTGGGGAGGCCCCAGGGCGCGCCGAGGCAAGGAGAGGAGGACGGAGCGCACAGGGCTGACGGGCAGAGGAAGTGCGCCCCGGGGAGACGCGACGGCGCCGGCGGCGGCGACGAAGGCCCCCAACGGGGGCCGGGAGGTGCCCGAGGGCGGGGTGCCCAATGGCGCGCGGCCGGCGCAGCGACAGCCGGCGGCTCGAGTGCGGGCCTCTGCCCGACGCGGCCCGTCGTCGTCGTCGTCTTCGCCATCGTCGTCGTCGTCGTCGTCGTCGTCGTCGTCGTCGTCGTCGTCGTCGTCGTCGTCGCAGCCGCAGCCGCCGTCGCCGTCGCCGTCGCCGGCGCCCTCATCCGTCCTCCTTGCCTCGAGATGTTTCTCTGTCTCGCTCTCCCTCCACCCCTCTCCCCCTCTTCCTCCTTCTCCTCCTCCTCCTCCTCGTCCTCCTCCTCCTCCTCCTCCTCCTCCTCCTCCTCCTCCTCCCCCTCCTCCTCCACCCCTCTCCCCCTTTCTTCCCCTGTCCATCCTGGCCCATCCCCTCTCCGAGCCCCCATTCACTCTGCCCCTTCTCCCGTCTGCCTCGACCGTTTCGTGTCGTCCCCGATCCCTGCCTTGTTTTCCCTCGCCTCGACAATGACACAATCTATGAATACTACTCGCCTCTCTCCCCGGATGACGTCCCGAAGATATCCAGCCCCCCTCCGCGTATTGTTTGTTCACCGGATTCCCGGGAAATCGGTGTTCGCTTGTTTTGTTTTCAAAATGTTGTTCCCGATGAAGCACTGGCCTCATTTTCGGGCTTCCGCTCGTTCTGAACCGTGTTCCCGCTGCTGCGCTGGCCTTATTTCCGCGCTTCCGCTTGTTCCGAATCGTGCTCCCGCTGCAGCGCTGGCCTTATTTCCGCGCGTCCGCTCGTTCCAAACCGTACTCCCGCTGCGGCGCTGGTGTCATTATTCCCAGCATCATGCCACGGCATGGTTTTCGGTTCTTCCAAATAGGTCCACAAATCTACAAAATTGACCCCCGAAAAAAACATCGTAAGTGATTCCGCATTCGGTGTCGATGCTTGTATTTCTTGGCCGCGGAAGCCCCCGCCCCCCCACTTTGGGGCGTCGCCACGCCATGCTCTTTCATGCTACGCGTTGATCTTCAACACCATGTTATGTCATGTTATGCTACGCCATGCAACGACATCCGACTGTGCGAATAGAACGGATGTCTACGCCATGCTGAGGGATGGGAGGGCGGGGTAGGAGGTCAGACATGACGCGAGCGCACCTAGCTTGCCCCCCCCTCTCCGCACATCCCTTCTCCTTTCCGGTGGGGCTCAGGAGAGAGGGCTCCCTCTGCACAACAACTTCGGGGTCTGGTGTGGGGCCCCCAGGAGGAGAGCTTTTCCAGGCATGCCCCACTTCAGACCTAGTAGAGTCTGTCACAGTCCATTCAGGGGCTGTTGGCTTCAGTTGCGCACCACCGCTTGGAACACCGGACTTTGTTTCGGTACCCTGCTTCCCACCCGCTCCTTCTTTCCCTCGTCCTCCATTTAGGCTCCGCTCGTGCACGTTACCTGTTCCGGCGGCGCTCCGTCCCCACAGGAGTTCTGTTTGCCCGACAGGGGAGAGCTTTGCTCGGCGAGGTCGATGTACGTGCAACGGCGTGCGCTCGTGGTGCGCGCAGGGCCCAGATCCTCATTCGAGCATTGCGCCTTCCATGTTGACGGGTGGGACGTTCGCCGTGTGATTGTGTTTTGTCCTCTTGGCCTACTTCTCCTCAGAGGAAAGAAAGAAGGAACACTCGGACCTCGCCGATGGGGGAGAGAGGAGAGGAGCCGGGAGAGGGGAAAGGCAAGCTTGGTGCGCTCGTGCCACATCTGACACCCCGCCCCTCCCGCACACCCCTTCACTACAGCCATCGGGGAGCTTAAGAAAATCAGCGAGAGGGTGCCCGAGCGGTCTTACTCCCTGCTCGCGTTCGTCCGTCTTGGGGTCGTCTCTCCAGCGGCCACGCTAGGAGGCCACGCTAGGAGGCCACGCTGGGAAGCCACACCGGGTGGCCACACTGGGCGGCCGCGCTGGGAGGCCACGCTGGGAGGCCACGCTGGGAGGCTACGCTGGGAGGCCACGCTGGCACGCTTGGAGGGCACACCGAAGAGGTGCGGTGTGTCCGTAGCGGTTTCGGTTCAAATCCCGCCAGCAGCAAGCGCGCCGCAGCCTCTGAGAGCGCCGCCAAGCACCCTCTCTCTTATCCGCAGCTGCGGGGGATGAGGCAAGCAACTTTCATGGACTCCGGATTTCGCTCACGGAGATCAAGAGTCTGCATTGTGCCTTGGGCGTTTTCTTGGAGTTCGTTTTTTCCTAGAACGTATATCTTAACCTTGAGAAAAAACGATTGGAGTGACGTCCAATGCCTTAGTAGCCTCGAACTTCCTCCCGCTGAGCAGGGGTGCACGTTGAGTTCCACTTTGTTCGCCGAGCTGGGAGTCGAATCGGGCCTTGGTCCCCGGACGGTGTCGACGAGCGGCAGAGGAGGGGGGATTGGAGCGGGCGGGACCGGGGAGGGGCAGCCGAGGGGGCGGGAGATGCGGTTGGAGGGTGAAAGAGGGGGTCTGCCACAGGGGGTCTTCCATGGGGGCTGAATGGCCCATGTGTGCTCCATGTATCGCTCATGTGTGTGATCGGGTACGATTGGCATCCAATGTTGGCGGTCCTGGAGAGCCAGCCGTTCGTGCCCGCGCGTTGCCCGCGCGGGATTGGAGCGGGCGGGACCAGGGAGAGGGCAGCCGAGGGGACGGGAGAGGCGGGGTGGGAGGGAGGCAGTCCAGACCCCCCCTTACGCGTCGGGGACGACCTCCTCGGGGAAGACCTCTGGTGCAGAAGCCTCCCGAGAAGGCGGGCCAGCGTTTCGCAACCAGCTTGCCGGGAAGTGGGCCCGGATTGTTTGAGCACGTTCGCTCCTCCGGCGTTGACAACAGAAGTTGGCCCAGATGTGTTTTAAGGCACCTCTGGGAAGGTGGCCCAGATTTCTTAAACGATGATGGTATTGGTTATGTAGTCGGCTGTATGTCCAGGCCTCCCAGATGGGGTCGGAGTCGATGGTGCCGGGGGATCGCACCGCATCGCCGATGCATCGGCGAGTTGGCTCGATGTGGACCCGGTCTTCTCCACGCCGACGTCGCCGCAGCATCGCCGATGTCGCAGGCATCGACGATTCATCGCCGATGCATCGGCGATGTATCGGCGATGTGGCGAGATCCTCCGACCCTATCTGCTCCGACCCGATCTGGGAGGGCATGGAGACAGTTTATGGTCTTGGGGCCTTTTCGGCGGTGCCTGGACAGCTCACCACGAGACGATCTTGGCATGGTAATCGATGGAGCGTTCCAAGAGATCCGATGGATTGAAAATCATCTTGGCGAAGGACCCAACCATTTGCAGCTGTGAGTACCGCAGTGGTGCGTATCCTCTTCGGTGGTGCTCCCAATGGGGACGCGAAACGTGTAAAGGGTGTGCCGAAGCGGGTGGCGGGGACACAGATGGTCACAGCCATTGGGCCTTCGATGGAGCTCCCCATGCGGCCGCGAGATGTGTGAGGTGTGTACCGAACGCAATGAGTGGCGGGGGCGCATGTGGTCACAGCCACTGGGGCGCTCGCTGGAGCTATGGGGCCACGAAACGTGTAACGGGTGCGCCAAAATGTGCAGCCGGGAAGCATGTGGGCACAGCCTTTAGGGCTTTCGGTGGAGCCCCCATATGGGGCCACGGAACGTGCGAGGGGGGTGCCGACATGGGCGACGGGGACGCATGTGGTCACAGCCATTGGGCATCCGATGGAGCTTCCGATGGGGCCGCGAAACGTTTGAAGGTTGTGCTGGAATTGGTGGCGGGGACGCGTGTGGTCACAGCCATTGGGGCATTCGGTGGAGCTCCCCATGGGGCCACGAAACATATGAGGGTTGTGCCGGCATGGGTGGCGGGGACGCATGTGGTCACAGCCATTAGGGCCTTCGGTGGAGCTCCCTATGGGGCCACAAAACGTGTGAGGGTTGTGCCGACATGGGTGGCGGAGACGCATGTGGTCACGGCCACTGGGGCCTTCGGTGGAGCTCCAGCTCCCCATGGGGCCACGAAACGGGTAAGGGGTGTGCCGAAATCGGTGGCGGGGACGCACGTGGTCACAGCCATTGGACCTTCGATGGAGCTCCCCATGGGGCCGCGAAACATGTGAGGGGTCTACCGATATGGCTGGCGGGGACGCATATGGTCACAGCCACTGGGGCTTTCGGTGGAGCTCCCGATGGGACCACGAAACGTGTGAGGGGTATGCCAAAATGTATGGCGGGGACGCATGTGGTCACAGCCACCAGGGCCTTCGGTGGAGCTCCCCATGCGGCCACGAAGCGCTGTACTGTGTGCGCTGAAATGGTGGACATGAAGAGTGCAGAGGCAAGGGTGGGAGGAGGAGGGCGGAGGAGGTAGAGGAGAGGAGACGCGGGGCGCTGTCCCTTCAAAACGCGGACCCAACACCACAGAAGGGTTGGGGAATACAAGACGGAGGTTGTTCGCCGCCTGCGGCCGCTAGAGTGGCCTTCGCTGGGCCCGGGGACCGTCCAGAAAAAACAGTGTGGATGAAGATCCCGTCCCCGGGAGTGGGTCGAAGCTTCCGGGGACCCCGCATTGCAGCGGATCTCTGCGTCGGAGGAGAGTGGAAAAAGAGAATCCAGAGATCCAACGCATTGACAACAATCAAGACGGAGGTTTTTCTCAAGGTTCGGCCTCGGGGGGCCCTCGCCGGGCCCTGGGGCCGTCAGGACACGGCTCGGGATGAGAAGTCTGGGTCCGGGGAGTGGGCCGAGGCTTCTCGGGGGCCGCGCGTGGAAAAGGGCACGGCATCGGCTCTCCGGGAGGGGAGCGCGCGGAGCGGAGCCGCAGGCGCGCCCGGGACAGCCGCTGCGGCTACAAGCAGCGGGCGCCTCCGGCCGCCCCGGCGGGGCCCGGGCCCTCCCGGCGGGGGCCGCGGCAGACCCGGGCTTTCTAGACTGGAGCGCCCGAGCCATCGCTGCGGCCGTGGGTCGCAGCGTGTGCTCCGCCCCTTTCGAAGTCTCTCCGGGCGCGAGCGTCCAAGTCCCGGTCCGCATGCGTCCTGGTTGTATATATATATATATATGTGTGTGTGTATGTGTGTATGTATGTGTGCATGTATGTATGTATGTATGGATGGATGGATGGATGGATGGATGGATGGATGGATTGATGGAAGTAAGTAAGTAAGTAAGTAAGTAAGTAAGTAAGTAAGTAAATAAGTAAGTCAGTCAGTAAGTAAGTAAGTAAGTAAGTAAGTAAGTATGTTTGTTTGTGTGTTTGTATGTATGTATGTATGTATGTATGTATGTATGTATGTATGTATGTATGTATGTATGTATGTATGTATGTGTGTGTGTGTATGTATGTATGTATGTGTGTGAACATTTGTATGTATACATGTATGTATGTGTATATTTATAGAGAGAGGGTCCTGACATCGGGAGGCGAGCTGCCCGAGGAGGGAGCGGGGAGCGGGGAGTTGCCGGAGGGGAGGGACGGGGGGAGGGAGGGGCAAAATATGCATACACCGCCACCACCACCTCCCCCTTCCCCCCTCCCTCCTCCCAGGGAGCGAGGAGGCGAAGGCGGGGGCGGAGGAGGGAAAAGGGGAATGGAGGTGGTGGTGGTGGCGTATCTTCTTGGGGCCCGCAGAGAGGGGAGGGAGGGGCCCGGACCACCGAGGATGCGATGTTTTTGTCGGCCGGCGGGCTTCTCCTCGATTGTGCTGCCCTCGGGGGCCGCCCCCGGGCCGCGGAGCCAGCAAGAAGGGCGCCGTGCAGAGATCTGGCGCCCCTGGGGAGGGGTCGGGGCCTCTGGGGCCGCGGACGGGACACAGCACACCGTCGGACCGAGGTACGAGGTCGAGGTCGGCTCGGGGAGGGCATCCGGATGTTCCTCGTGCTCGTGGGATGCTCTTGTGCTCCCTGGGGGAGGCTGCCCTCGGATGTCCTGCGTGGGGTGGGCCCGCGGAGGGCCTCATGTCCTCGGAGGATGTTCTTCTGTCCGAGGTCCGACAGGACCGGCGGGCGTCAGAGGCGCCACCACCGCTGGCGGCCCACCTCCAGCGAGGAGGTCCACGGTGCCTCCACGAGCTGGACACCGGTCAAGGGAGGAAGAGCCACCCGGACCCGACAGTCGGCGTTTCCTAAACGGATTTCGGGCGTCTACTGAACAGCCTGGCCCTGTTCGATTCCTTCCGTGGGTGCGTTTGCTAAGCGGTTTTGCGTGTCGGGGTGATCATTATGGGGTGGGTTAAGAAATAGCATCAGCACCTCGACGTCCTAATTCCTGTCGAGGTTTGAGGTGGTCCAGATCGATCTATAAGTCTGGAGTGTTTATATATATATATATAAATGAACAACACTCTGGAAGGTCAGGGTTTCTGCCCTCTAGTTGGAGGCGTCGCTGGCGGGACGCCGCAGAGCAGGGGGGCCGCGCACCACCGGGAGGCCCCTGCTGGCGCTTGCCCCCCTGGTGGTGGTGCTGCTGCTGCCTGCCCACCGCTTGGCATCGCTCGGGCAGGTGCATTTTTTCTCGGCGGGGACCATCGAGGAGCATCCTTGGGATCATCGGGCAGAGAATGAACGCACGAGGCCGAGAAATGCACGGGGAACGGGCATCCTGGCGATGGTGAGGCGTTGTCTGCCCACAGCGGCTCTTCCCTGGGCTCAACGCTGGCGCAATGACAGTTCGCATTGCCCTGAGATCCGGGCGTCTCAATTGTTTCGAGCCAGGCGGTTTCGCTTTTGTTCGGGCCCGGGACCCGTCGAGATCGATACAGCTCGAAACATGGCGCAGAAAGATTGGGTCTTGGGCTCCGAGCGTGATTTCTTATGATGTTGCAAGCAATTGTTTCGTCACGTTGGATCTCAGGGTGTGCTGTGCAGATGGCTGCGGAGGTGGGCAAGCGCTGTTCCGACAGTGCGGCAGACTCGCGCACACCCTTGCACTCAGGCAAATTAATTTTGCCACTTGGAAGCTTGGACAGGTGACTTTCATTCAGGGCCATGGGGAGGAGGACAGATGACTGAAGGTGCGCTCGAATGGAGAACTGTCGCGGAGATGTATGTACGTAACTCGATCAGTGAGCAGACCGACAACGTCGGGATGCGATTTTGAGACATTGGCGCGCACAGTTGCAGCAAGGCTCTGAGCCAGATCGGGCACTACATGCGGCGGCCCAGAGCAGGGCTGGGCCTAAACGGTGTTTTGGCGATTACGTGGGCCGTTTTCGTTTCGATCTCGCTTCGCGGTAAAGGCGAATCGAAGACAAAACACGAGGGAAAACGACAACAGAACGAAGACGAAAAACAACTTTTTAGGTTCAGCCCCGTCGGCGCACTGTATCGCGTGAGACCCACGTTCTCAGCCTGCGTGCCGAGCTCCGTCTCGCTGCGTGCTGCGCGTGGCGTGCCGGGGCAGCCGAGCACGAACTCGGGCTCGGCGCGCCGGGGGCCCCCCACACGGCGCGCGAGATGGGGCGGCCGTCGGCACGCGGCGGGCGGGGTGCACCCTCTGAGGCCGTCTCGGCGGTGGCCCTGCCCTGCCCCCCCGCTGCGCCGCGGTGGTCCCCTGGATTAAGTCGGGCCTGTCCCCCTACAGGGGGATTTTCGACGAAAAGCACAAGATACCGCAAAAATAATCAAAAAATTGTCCAAAAATAGTCTGGGGATAATTGTTGGGGTATTTTTGTTGACCTGTTTGGGCCATTTTTGGTGTATTGTTTTTCTTTGTTCGTCGACTATCCCCCTTTAGAGGGACACGCCCGACATAACCCCTGGAGATCTGGACCCCGTCCCCGGCTTGGGCGCGAATCGACGGGGGGCGAGAGCCCCGACCTTCCAGAGCGCAAGAAACTGGCACTCCAGACCTATGGAGATCGATCTGGATCGCCTCAGGCCTCGGCGGGGATGGGGACGTCGACGTGCTGATGCTATTGGCCCTCCTGGAAGGTCAGGGAAGTGGGGGGGGAGGGGGGGAGTGAAAGGTGCCCTTGTCCGGCCCTGCAGACCCCCTCTGAGACCCTAAAGGGCCACTCCAGGGGCCAGTTACACAAGGCCCCTGCTCTCCGCAGCCCTCGCTGCCGCCAGATTCACTGCCTTCCCATTACCATTAATTCGCGCCCAACCGGTCCAGAGCCTTGAGACGGGGGTCACTGCAAACGGGGGTCAGCCAGAGCGCCGGATCTTGCAGGATCTTCCAGAGGCATGGTCGCATTGACCTGGGCTTGGGCGCAGGATCCTGCAGCATCCTGCACGGACCAGACGCAAGAGCGACCTCTCGCCGGAGTGTCCCTCGGTGCGGGCCCAACGGGGCCCCCCGATCACCGAATGCGATGCGATACCAGCGTCTTGCGCGCTGGTGTTTGGCCCCCCCCAGCGGCCCCCAAGAAGCCGCGCACCAGCGGTCACTCTTACCCAGGGTCACTCCTCGCGTGTAGCCGACGGCAGGATCCTGCGACGCCTGGCTGACCTGGGTCTGGATTGGCCCGGAGCTGGAGATCCCCGGCCCGGGACCGGCTCTTCATCCTGAGCCGTTTTGTGGACGGTCCTGGGGCCCAGCAGGGGCCCGTGGAGGCCCAAAACGGCCCAAGACCCTCCGTCGCGATTTGCTTCACGACGCGAAGGGCCTTACACCACGCCAGTACGAACCTGGCCTGGATCATCTCAGGCATTCCACTTTTCAGGTGATTTGTTTTTGGCATACTCACCACCTCCAGGAGGCATTCCGTGGCATGTTCATCTCGCCGCTGCGTTCGTTCATTGGTCCGTGCCGCTGCTTTGCGGAAAGAAACGATGGCAAGGAGGACCTCTCCGGCGGCCGGGTGCTCCTCTTCACCTCTCCCTCTTGAAGGTGTTGGTTAAAATATATGTGCGGTACACTCCTGACCGGAGTCGTGATATGCAGGTCGACGCAGACGAGTGCAGAGGGGCCCAGGGACGGGCCTCCCGATCCCAGACCCCCGACGTCGTGATTTTTTCCGCAACGTCCACCCCCAGAGGTCTGGACCCTTTCCCCTGGACCGGTTTCTCATCCTGAGTCGTCTGTTGACGGTCCCGAGACCCGGCAAGGGCCCCCGGAGGCTGAAAATGGCGAAACCCTTCCCGTCTCGTTTTTTCCGCAACGGGATGGGGTCTGGCTTCTCCCCTCCCCCCTCGACCGGCCTCCCGTTCTCCTCTCTCCCCCGCGGGCTGCCGCGGAGGGGAGGGGAGAACGCGAGGCCGCCTCGGGCCTGCAGCCCGAGGTGCCCGGGCCGAGCGAGCGGCCTGGGCCTGGGTGGGACGGGAATTGCGAGGTTCTCGCGGCATCGCTCCGAGGGGTGCGTGTGTCTCGGCAATGGCCATCGAGGAGCATGCACAACAAAACACAAAAAAACACCGATGTGTATATATATATAGATATATATATATATATATATATATATATATATATGTATATATAGCTAGATATATCAAAAACATTAAGAAAGGAAGAACAAGCCCCCCACCACCACAAAAAACAACAACAAAAAACGCGAAGCCGAAACCTGCACGGGGAATGGACGTCCGAGCGATGGCGAGTCCTCGGTTACGCGCAAGAGTGTCCCTTCGCCAGAGTGTCCTTTTGGTGCGGGCTCAGGGCCCCCGCCAGTATTGCCATGCGCCGCTTGATTCGGCCTACCCGCCGCCCTCCTCAGCCGTGCACCAGAGGTCACTCTTGCCTGGGGTAGCTCTTGCGTGTCGTCGAGGTTCGAGGTTCGAGGTTCAAGGTTTTCGAATTCGAGGCCTGGGCCCGTCGGTTCGGACGAGAGTTTCGAAGTTCTCGGTTTCGAGGTTCGGACGAGAGTTTCGAGGTCGAGAGTTTCGAGGCTGGGGCCCGTCGGTTTGGACGATTTCCTTCGTTCTC